ATATTTTTTGAAAAATAATTATTTATTATTAACCTTAAATTTGTTTAGATCATTATATATATATAACCTACTATCAATAGAAATTATATCTTTTAAAAAAAATCAATATTTTAACTTTTATAGCTTATATCTTGCTAAATATTGGTCATTTTGCTTATTTAATATTCAAAAAATTTTAGATATTTAGATTTTTCAAATATTAAATAATCAAAATAATTTTGAAATCTATCAAGATATAAACTGTAAAAATTAAGGTATTTATTTTTACTGCAATCTAAACTGATTTCTGCAGATAATTTTTTCGCATAACATATGAGCGAAAATTTTTGATGTGAATGTTGTAATTAGTAAAATTAAGTGATATACGCAATGATTTATAATGAGTGCTCGAGAATAAAAAATTTGACTTAAAATTTTGTATGATTTTTGATCAATCAAATTTCAAGATCAGGCTGATCTTGAAATTTGATTAGTCAAAAATCATACAAAATTTTGAGTCAAATATTTACTTACAGGTTTTTATTCTCGAGCACTCAAATGACTTATAAATATTATGTGGCTTCATGATCAGTTTCATAAGCAATTTACAACTAAGAAAAGCAGCTGACCAATTAAATACAATGATGATTTGAGCGTCGACAAGGGAAAACCAGTAATTGTTAGTTTTTCGAAATTTCATTTTCAGCAATGATTTATAAGAATCCGTTTCTAAAAGTGAAATTTCGAAAATCAAGAATTACTAGTTTTACCTTGGCGGCACTCATTTATAATTATTATGCGTTCATAGACGCGATTCATAAGCAGATTAATAGTCAAGGCAAGCAATTGACCAATCAAATACAATCTTACAGTTCAATATTTTACCGGAAATTATACAATATCACATAAGTGATTGGATTAAATTTTATGAAATGCTATCATAAATTTTAATATTCATCAAATCGAAAAAATCCGTCCATACGAAATTAATTTCAGAATTCCGCCAGCAAAATTAATTTCGCCAGACAGCATTTTGAAGTGCCATAGCGAAATATTAAAAACATTTCGCCATACCATCTGCCGTCAATTATTCGTATTTTAGATAATCATGTATATTTTGGTCCGTTAATGAATCAATATACGGATTTTCCTTTTCATTATTCAAATACGTATTCAAGAGTAAAAAAATAATTTTTATGAGGATCAATATTTTAAAAAAATTCATTCTATATCTGATCTCGTAGTCTTATTATCAGGTTCAAGTTGCAAATTTTTTTTGCTACGATTATTTATCTTGATTAATCATGACCAAAATTTGTTTTATTGAATGCTATAAGAGTAACAGAGAAAATATTTGTACATCAAAAATGGCAATTAATGAAGCAAACATTCGTGACAGATGTCAAAATATTAGTGTAGAAAGATAGACAAGCAGATAATAGATTATAAACCATTACTGCATAATTCTAATTTCGAATATTTCAATTTCTTCAGCAGTAATACTTGTATCATTAAGAGAAATTAAAATGTTTTCAGATCTTGTCTCTCTAAGAAATTTCAAGTGACCACTTCCAAAATCTATAGATTGTGATCCAAGACCACTATTGAATTTTACACGACAAGACGTATTAAAATTAGAGTCTATTCCACTTCCAAAACTAAAGACAAGCCCATCAACACTAAAATTTACATTCATTGGAAATGAGTTAATGGTATTCATTAATTTGCAATTCAGATATAGATGCGAAAAAGTAACTCACTTAGGTTTAGTACCAATGTATCCACCAATTATTCTATCTGAATCTTTAACTTTAATCAACGCAACTCGTGAATAACCTTTCAGCTTGACAATAAGTTCTAAGTGATCAAATTCACAGCGGGTCGCTCGGTAGCTAAGTATAAACTCGTAAGAAGGTTTTTTGGTAAAGGCAGCTATTCCTTTGATCCACCTGACAATGGCCCGAGCATCTTTCGTATTAATGATGGCGGAATCAATACTAGCCATTTCTACACGTTGTTGCAACTTAATACGTTTTGGTTTAATATCGGCCATGAAATAAGCTACTAATTCTTTATAAAGATCTTCCGGTAATGCTCTTTCAAGAGGCATAACTTGATGATAGAATTCGGCCCGTGACATTCTACAAAATCTAACATAATTTATAAATGGTTCTATTTTTTTTTTAAATCGTGAAAATTCATTATCTCCCCAGCTAGCGACATCCGTATTAACAGATTTTTCATCAGATAGAGAAGTAAGTTGAGCTGTTCCCCATTTTACTAAATAATTCCAAACGTAGACTTCTTCAATACCTAGATCATCTCTCTTAATAAGTTCCAAAAAGATTTCTTTCTCTAATGTTGGAAATTTCTCTAACTCAAATAATAATGGTTCTGGATCTATACAAACAGTCTTCATGATATAATCTTGGATTTTTTTAAATTTTTTGAAATTATTGATATCCCACAAATATACAAGTATATTTTCTTTAAGCCAAGAGAGGTTTTGATGACTAATAACTTTTATAATTGAATCTTGAATTTTCTCGCATCTTTTAAGGTTAACGACATTGGATAAAAAATCAATAAATCTTTCTTTAAACCAAGAAGGTTCATTTCTAATAAACTAAATGAAATATTTAATATTATTGTTACATAAGATGTAAATCGAAATTAAAATTATATATATATGTAAACTTACAGAATCTTTAATCCGTTCAATTAACTTATCAAGAGTCAATTCATCAGCAATACTAAGAACTGCAAGAATATCGGAATATGAATTTACTGGTGGAGCAAGTGTTGTTGTAATATAAGATTGGATCTTTTTAAAACTTTGAATCTTAAAGACGGTAGACATAACCATAACAAAATTATCTTTAAGCCAAGTAGATCCGTTTTCAATGAGCTATATTATATAATTTTTAAAATTATAATTTTATGATATACATTTAAGTTGAAAACTATATTAAAATAATAAACGTTTTATGTATATAGATATAATAGCCTTACATATCTTTGCACATAATCAACCAATCGATCAAGCAATAATTCATCAGCAGCAATCAGAAGAGCGAAGATATTAGGCCAAGGTTGATCTTTTAAATTAAGAGTTCCTGTATAAACATATCTTTAAAATTACATCATTAATTAAAAATAAGTTAAATATATTATATATAAGAATTCATATCTGATATACAGTAATCTCAAATATACTGTACCGCAGAATCAAAAGAAATACAGCTGGAGAAATATTTGGTTTTTGAAAACAATAAGTATTTTCTTTATTCTTGACCCATTTATCGGATAAAGCAGTTTTAAAGTATGGGGATCTAGCTCGTAAAATAATTGAATGAGCTTTAAATTCCTTGAAGTCTGATTCATCGCCAGCTTGAATAATAATATCATAATCATTTGCATCTTCAAAAAGATACAAAAGATCTTTGGAAAGATCATCAAAAAAGTTGGCAATTTCCGTTGTTTTAATCGAATCGAATAGAAGATCCATTGCTTTGATAAAAAAAGGTGATTGTTAAAAATTTTTTTAATATCGACGTAAACAAATACATATTAAAGAGCAGCCACGCTACCTCCCTGCTGCAGTAACGTGAGAAGATCAAATCGAATAGATCGAGATTGATTAATTACATTAATGGGATCACCAAATTCAGCAGATTACCGCCGATCTCGTTCCGGAAATCTATAACAATAGCGATGTTTTTCTACAGTAATAACTGCATATTTTAAATTGTTTTGAAACTTCAATCGAAAAAATTTCTCGACAACCATTTGAACAAATTCGAGAAATTTTTTATTTGCTTCTGCATAACTATAGAATGCAAATAACAAAATGTTTATTGAACTCGGATAAGTAGTTATCGAAATATTTTCTATTAAATTTTAAAATTTTAAGGGTAGAGTATACGTAGATCATTTATCATATGATATGCATGGCAATTTTTTTTGTGTAACAGATTACATAG